TCGCTGTCACACATCCCAAATCAGACAGAGAAAAAGAATGTCCCCTGATAGGAAGTATCTATGTCCTGCTATAGCATTTCCCCTAATTTAGGTTGCATTATTGATGTACAGGACTCTGTATTTGAATAATGTAACAGTAAGACTCTCACAGAAAGCACTAGCACTGGCTTTAATGTGTGTCTATAAAGATAAGAAAAATGTATTTTAAAAGTCCAGCAGCTTTCAAACAATATATTTTCAAGTTACAGGAATGATCACCACAAGGAATTTAAAATTGAGGTGAGAAGGGGGAGCAACATTTCTCCTAAAATGCTAATGAGCTACTGCCTTATAAAGTGAAAAAAAATCAACAAATCTGTATGAACAAACATTATGAATATTCAGGAAGTTTAAGCCGCTGATCCAAGGTTTTCTAGGAGTGGACAACTTTTGCACTGATCACACAAACCATTCTTTTTCTTCTCATCATGAGCACGCTCGACTGTGGTGTCGGTGTGCTGCTGAACATATGCGTGGAATTGCAGGGATTGTAATTCATCCAGATGGCAGGAAGCTCTGGAATTGTTACTCCTATGCTACAGATGTTTAACAATCCAACCATATGGCTCCAATAAGGCAGCCTTGTCAAAGAGTACAAAAACTGCACTAGACACAGAGCCCTGTAAATGGGAACGCAGTCCTGAGGTGGGAATGTTCATATGGCTGCACTATAAATGCACACATCACACTGGGAAGCTGGCATGGCTATTGCAATTACAGAATTTATGAAACATTATTTAAACTCCTGAAAACAATCAGGCCTCATATTTGCATAATTTCCCCAAGTCAGCTATTAAAAGAACATTCCTCATTTGATTTTGAAATTCATTAAAGGCATCAAACAAAGGTGATTTGAAAATCTGGGTAAATAAATACATGTTAATACAATAGTGTCCCCAGCCTCTGGCCTGAGGGAAATACCACTGCAGGTAAAAACTGAGATTCAACCAGTGAGACCAACAATTTCTCTAGAAAAAGATTTGTCAAAGTCAGGGAGCCCTGCTGATGCTTGTGACAATTGTAATGTGGAAAGCTGAATGTTGAGAAACAATCTGAGATCAATAATATCTTGGCCAAGAAAGGAAAGCACCATGAAATGGTCCATCTATAACTCTACTGAATTTTGGCAGGTTTGAAAGACAGATAAATGGCAGCAAATCAGATTGTTAAATCACTAATCCTGTCATTATTACATCCTGTCACATTGCATAGATTTAGACATTAGAAAAAGAGTGTAAGGCAGGAGAGTGAAGAAAACACTTAAAAGCTCAACTCAATCTCTGAAGAAAAGGTGAATTCCCAAATTTTGTTTCATGGTTGGTGCTTTTCTGCCCAAAAGTCAGCTGGCAGTAGCTGCTGCTCAGAGTCCCATCTACCTTCCCTCTGATGTCAGGTCTCTGACCCTTTGTTCCCCACAAGAAGTGTCTCCTCTGTACAAATCTGTTGTGCAAGAATAAGATTAAAATGGACAGACTGAACAAAGCATTGGTCTCTCAGACAAAAATGCATCCATTTAGCACACAGGGCATCTTTCCACCTGACATATTCTTAAAGGGAACTATTCAATTACCATCTCCTCACAGGCTAAAGAGCAAAAAAGAGCCATGTAATATTCTTTTTCTCTTTTTTTTCCTGAGCAGCAAAGTATTCAGAGCTGCTTTATCTACCACAGATACTAATCTAGGCAATATAATTTTAAAACATCCTTACAAAAACCTTGAAGGGCAGTTGAACCCTGTGGTTGTTTAAAAAAAGATTTTCTGCAGTTTATGCATTTGCTCTGCCAAAAGCTTACCTTAGCATACAAAGTACAGTAAATCATAGCTGCTCTGATTTACTGCCCAGACTGTGCTGTTTGTTTTCAGGGACAGCTCAGGGAAAGCTCTGTCAAGTGTAAGAGCATTCAGAGAAGGGGAATCGTTTTGCAAAGCTCCCACAATGGTAACAACATTTCTAAGATATCAGTGAAGGGGAAAAAAATGCAGATGTGCATTTGCAGCATTTTTCAGGGGGAATTCTTTGAATACCGTTGCAACCCCAAAATATTTCAGGCCCTTTGGAGGCACAAAGACAATTTCATACCCCAAAACTCTTTAGCCTAAGCATTAATGGGCTGGCCAGCTGTATAATTTACCAGGCAAACAGTTAAATTATTGGACCTTGTGCCTGAATTCCACATTTTGTGGGGCAGCAGCACATACAAATGCCAAAAAGGCAAAGAAGACACCGGAGAAGTGGCAGAGCAAGAAGCTCTGGATCAATGTGACTATTTAGAACTGAGGGTAGATTTTATTAGAATTAATCTATTTAGTAAGCCCCAACATGAGGACAAAGATAAAACCATATATCTGACATCCTTTTGAAAGTTAGTAAATGAAAAGGGAGAAGATCAAAACAGTAGCTGAAAGCTTTCACTTCTGTTTTAAAATCCAAGAAACAGTCATTAATAGAGATTTAAACTCAGCCCTCTCTAGTCTAAACATGTCACTGTTAATTACAAAGCCATTTAACTTTTGCAAGAAATAAAGACTGCTATTAATGAAAGAAGAACCAATTAGCCTTTAATCTACACACTGTTTTTTAATCAAACTTTCTTTTGATCATCAGACTCACTGCAGGATGTATCCCTCCTCCCCATGTTGTAGTGGCTTCCATGGTTGCTAATGGAAAATGGATTTTAAAGGGCTGGCTGAGCAGGGAGAGCCCTCTCTGCAGGGCTGGAGCTTCCTCCCTTCCTGCCAGGGACAGCTCAGGAAAAGCTGAGAATGGGGAGTCCTGAACAGTCTTGGAGCAGCTGCCTTTAGAGGAGCAGCACTGAATGTGTCTAGAGGAACGTGGGACAGGAGTACTGGACAACCTTGTTAGGAAACAGTAAAAAAAATACCAGTGTAAAGAGAAGAAATGGGATGAAAAAAAGCAAAAGCAGAGAAGTGCCTCCAGGAATGAAAATGGAATTCACTGCTGACTGCAAAGGATGATGAATGAGAGAATTTGCTTGCTGGCACAGGAACATATTGTGGAAAAACAAAACAAAACAAATGGGATCAGGGCTTGATGTGTTACAAACAAAGGGGTGACACGAAAAGGATCCCATTAGCAAAATATTGGGCTCCAAACTGTTGCTTGAGGGCTCGGAGAATTTCAAGGAGGTTTTCTGTTTGGTTTGGGGTTTTTTTTTTGCTGTGTGGCTACTTGTGGTAGCAAAATAATATGTCCAAGCATCTGGAATCCATCATGATGGAGAACTTCTTCCCTGACATCATTTCCCCCTTGGCTGCTGTTGCTGCTCCGATCTCCGGGAAGGACAGAGAGCAGATGTCCCTGAGCACACACCAGGCTGATAATGGAATACAAAAACCTGACTCCTGCACATGTAAACAGCAGAGAGAGTGTAACTATTATCTGCTCTGTGTCAAACACGGGGCTCTTGGTCTGACCAGATACCTGCTGCCTGCTCTGCATTAGCAAAATTTCACTGTATGCTGTTCTTTCTCCACCACAGAAAGATAAAATTTGCCTGGCAGCAGCAAAACACGAAGTATTAATGCTAACAAAAAAACCACTTCAAAACAAATGTTAATATCCTCAAAGAATCAGAATGGCTGGGAGATTTATTGTTGCGACAGTATGGTAATTTTAAAAAAATTAAAAATAAAAAATCAATAGATTGCAGGGAAAAAAGTGATAATAAATATGCTTTGTGACAGACAGGATTCTGAGTCATGAAATTCAAGACTGTAATAACAGTATGTGGAACATCTGCTGACATGGTATTGACACCTGAGATATTTGAAGGTAGGTACATACTTACCATAGGAAGGATTCCAGTAAAGACAATAGGTTGCAATAAATGTTTTTCAGGACTTGACTAACAGCATTTTGCACTTCAAAAGATCAACTTATTACACTTTCTGTAAAATAATTCTAATGCCTTATCTCAAAGGACTGGTGATTTTTCACAGCCCAAACCCCTTGAATGGAACTGTTTGGCGTAAAGGTCACTGAAAATGAGATCAGGGTCCATTCATGGCTTTCAGCTGCTCATGTATTACAATATGAGTCCAACACAGGAACTCAGATAAAAACATCAACAGAGCTAAAAAGAAATAGCCGTAAAGCACAGTGTGAGATATCTGAAGTTAGCCGGATAATTGTATCATTTTCACATTTATTCCATGGCATTATAAACCTGTTAACAAAATTTGGATTCTGATGCTGATCAAAACCTCTTTGTGTTTTTCTGGTGTCATAATCTCACTACACAAGACCTAGACACGAGGTCCCATCTCCACTTCCCTTTTGAGCACATGCAGAACACTCAGAAGGCTGCAATACTGAAAACATGTGACACTAATGTACAGGGTATTTTTAATTAACGAAGCTCTTAGGCGTTGCTGAAAGATCCATTTTGATTTTTGTCCCCTCTCTTATTGACCTAAAACACTTCAGAGCTCTGTATTTATTTATACAGTACAGCTGGGAGAAAGTTTTTCTGACATTTGAGAAGCTTTAAAAAGTTAAATTGTTGACAGGAACCATTGTGGAAAAAAAAAGAGATTTAAACTCATTTAACTCTTGAAGTAAGATCTTTCAAAGGTAAGAAGCAGAAACTTTACACTGCTGCTTAAATTATGTGGTAGTTTATTCCTGAGTGTTCTCAGTTCCCCTAATTCATTAACATTGGTGAATACTTGCATTAATTACTCCCCAAAGTAAGCCCTGCTTCAAGAAGGCACTAAGGGACTTCATTAACTCCCTCCCTAATGACTTCAGCCAAATTTTCCCTACTTACTTGAGACGCACATATCCAAACCACCCCGAAACATTCCGTACCTGCAATTCTGCCTGCGATCAGCGCCAGCTGAAAGCCCTGAACATCAACCCTAATGCAACACAGCTTTAATTTATCTACAGCTGCTCCAAGACCCCTCTGAGCAGTGCCAGGGGCCGTGTGTACATACGTATGCAGTAGTCCCCACTCTCGTAGTAGCCGGGGCAGCACTGGGAGCGCCGGCGGTACATCGTGCGCAGCCCCCTGCGATAGGCGGTCTTGTAGCTGATCCTGCAGCACGAGACACAAAACCACGGGACACTATTGAAAATCAATGCCTCCTGCTGCAATGATATTTGTGTTAAATTATAGTAAGGCTAGCATTCAATAATTATTTTTAAATGCATGAAAGCTTTTTGATAATAAACGCCGCAATAAGGGAGGGATCGATACTTGTTTTGAAGCTTGAAATAGGACTCGTGTTATGAGCACAGTGCTCCTGACAGCCACTGGAGCTCTTCCTGGGGCAGCTGCTGTCTTAAAACATTTTCCCAGTCCTGCTGCAAGGGCAAGGAGTTTCTTCAAGAATAAATGATTTATTTTTGCACATCAGCAAGGTCAGATCTCATCAGTAGAAGGAACAGAGTCTTCTGCAGAGACCACTGTGTCAGCTGCTACACAAAACCTTTCCACAGTGGCAACTGCTCTCAATACACAGCTTGAGAAGTTAACCCCAAGTGATTTGTTCCTGCTTGCTACCACTTCCAAGGCACTCCTACCTTGCAAAGTGTCATTATAGTCCCAGTTCAGTATTTAAAGCCTGTTTTCCCAACCACAATACTATAGTCCACGGAAATTAAAAGGTGTTTAGGATTCTGAAGCATTCCTACATTTATTCATAGCATTAGCAGGGATACCATCATAGAAAGGTAATATTTAACTGCATATTTAACAGCAAACACTTCAAAACAGCTTTGCTAGTTTATGGAAATTACCTCAATTGAACAGAATCTATTGTCCCTCATGTTGGATAAACTGATCGAATTTACTCTGCTGCATTCCAATCTATACAATATTCCAGAAAGCTCTGCAGCACTGTTCACTTCCAAACACTCTAACACAGGAGCTAAAAAGCCAAGTGCCACAGTCCCACTGGGATGGTGCTGAACAGCCAACTTGCAACTGAATTCATGAGAGTTGAGATAAAAAAAGGCTTCTAAAACCCCCTGGAAAGATTGTGAAAATTAGTGGATATTTATTAGGATACTTTGGAAGCAGAATGACTATAACAGAAATATCCTGCAGCCTGGGAAAAATTAACTCTTTGGTACAAATTTTCATTCAGTCCTAGAAGCAGACCCATGCTCATTTTACCTGATTTTCAGTGCAGATATGGGTGCACTAATTCTAACACAGATGCATTTCTAATTATCACTAACCCTCAAATGCCTGATTATTCACAATTTAGGAGGTGCATGGACTTCCTTTTACAAACCTGGACATGCACCCATCACTTGGAAAAGAAAGTTGGTCATGTCTGGTCAGGGAATAGACACTCCCAACAGACACTTCCAATCCCATGGCAGGGCCACTGGAATGATACATTCTCCTGGATGTCCCCACGAGGGACTGACTATAACTTATCTCACTCAAACTTCAGGCAAAAATCTCTGTATTTCTACTCACTGCCCTGGAATTCCAAACACACATCTTTGTGTACACATCTACATCGGAGCACCACAAACATTTGGATAAACAAGAGGTGTGTGAGGAGATGAGAAGGCAGCAGGAAGCTCAGGTTTCTCAGGATGAGCTCTTACCTGTGCCTGGTGCACTTGAACCAGTTGAGGATGTCTGTGCATCGTGTGTAGTAGATCTGGTCAAAGGGGTGAGCGTAGGATTCCTGCACGGTCACGGCGTAGCTGAGGGGGGACAAGGAAAGAGGTCAGGGGCTGTGAAAAGCTGCAGTACCCTGTATCTGCTGCTCATGGAAGTCCAGTATGAAACATATTTACATCAGGAATCTTAGAAATTTGGGAATCAGCAAAGAGCAGAAAAGGGCTTCCTTCTGCTAGACCTTTTCTGGTTTGGCTTCGTGACTGATAAAGGCATAGAGATATCACTGTGATCAATAAACCATTCTCTTTTAGGGAAAAAAAACACATATAACTAAAAATAATGGAAATTTAAAAGGTGAAAAGTGAATGGATATGGGAAAAACCTGGGCAATTTGGTGAGAAATCACAGAACTTCAACAATAGCAAGAACTGAGCAATCCTCCCAAAACACCACTTAGCCATGTAACAGCTTCTATGGTCATTATAGTTTGGGCCTCTCACATGATACAAGAACCCAAATCTCATGTTGGGGTTAGCTGTGGCAGAGCACTGCCCCACAGCAGGTGTGTGCACTGCTCAAGGGACTCCTCTCTCAGGTGCTGATCTGGACACAGCCCCACTTTATCAGACCTACAACATCTTTGGAGAACAATACACAAATTACCCTGGGCAGGTCAAGACCCAGGAATTAGATCCTCTAGGTCACTCATTATATGGATTGTCTTAGTTCTGCAGCTGATTTCCCTCTCATCAGCAGGACTGCAGATGTGATTAAGCCCTGGGGGATTGCACCCACAGGCAGTACCAAGATATTAGCTTGGAGGGGCTGACTGGCTTGAAATCGAAGATTGGGCTGTTCCTGCCCTCCTTGTCATGTCCCTTCTAGACAAGCCAAGGTTCCCCAGATTGCACCCACAAAGCAATACCAAGATATTTGCTTGGAGGGGCTGACTGGCTTGAAATCGAAGATTGGGCTGTTCCTGCCCTCCTTGTCATGTCCCTTCTAGACAAGCCAAGGTTCCCCTGCTTTGCCCTCTGTCACTGTTTGCTGGGTTTGACAATAATGTTTTTTACTTCTGCTAATGCCAAAATATAAAATATTTACATTGCTCATTATTAATGTAAGACAGTAACACTTGCAAATCTCAATTATTATTTTACTATCCCATTTATTATCCAGCAATAGCCCTAACAATCTTTTCTCTTTGATTTATTAACATCTAACTAACAAAGTCATCTTGGTCAGTACAACCAATCAATTTTGGTATTTAATTTTTGTTTCTCCTTGATTGGGTCTCTAGGTTGCTGACTTTCTTCAGACAAAATCAATATTTTATTCCTGTGCTCTGAATGCACTTCCAGCACGCAGACTGCAAAATCCTTTTCCTATACAGTTTTTGCTTTGCAGTTGCATTATCTACAATGAGTTAATTCTCTAATTAAGGCCTCAAAACATAGTCATTAAAGACGATTCTATTTTTACCTTTGTTAAAGGGTGTATTTTGCTGAAGTGTACAGCAATTCAGATTTGTGTGGAATTGAACCAGAAAGCAGGACTGGAAATTTAGCAAGTTAAACTGAGAAGTACAGGACCTTTAGCCTCTGCAAACAGCCCCTGTGTGATTGTGAACCCATCAAAGGCTGTGGGTTTCTCTGTGCTCACAGGAACTGGCCTGCTCAGGTCCACTTTTAGGACCAGGACACTGGCACAAGAGAGAGAACAAGAAGAAATTCCAGGTCCTTTCATGTTCAGTGCTTTCATTCACTCTTTGATGCCGGCACGAATTTGGCAGGAAGAGCCCCAAAGTTCAGGCTAGACAAAACCAGCCAGGATGCTGCAGCAGGAAGAGCTTCAAACTTTCTTGCTGGACAACAAGCAGAAAAAAGCAGGACAGAACAAGGCCAGCATTTCTGTGGGTCTCTCCATGATGGATGCAAACAACTGAGTGCACTCCTGTCCCTCAGACTCTGGAGGGGCTTCCCAAAGGGCACAGGGGGATGTGGTCAACAGCTGCAGCCTTAGAAGCAATTCCTTGGGATGATCCAAACCGTCCCAGGCACCCCAAAGCACTGTTTCTGTAAATCTTTCTGAGATTCTGAGATGTGGTGGTATTTAGCAAATTATGGCTCAGTTTGCCTTCTAAATGTAAAAATATTAAATGGATGATTATAAAAAAAAGAAAAAGGCAGGTTACACATTACCTTTCCCAGTGACTACAAACATTTGGATCATCTGGATTTAGGGACAGAGTAGTTTTGAGCAGGAAAGTCAGAATAAGCCCTCTTAGAATCCACTGGAACAGCACATGTGCCACCATTGTTGTACCTAGAGAAAGAGAAGAAAGCAGAGCCATTAGAGACAATTTTGAGGAAAATGTCCTTCTTGGCCTTTTCCTCCTTACTTCTGTGCAAATCCAAATACTGTGGAGCTATTCAGAAACTGAAATACTTGAAAAAGCAATCAACTAAACAGTAAAATGCTTTAAAAGTTCAAATCCATTCTAAAAGGAATTTATACATTTAAACCTAATAAAAGCAATGAATTTGATGATTAAGCCACCCAAGATATTGATAGCCCCAATGATTCTTCCAAAGAACATTTCTGATACTGATTATTTTTATGACAGGCTGTCTGTACTGACAAATAAATCTCTGAGGTATTAAAGCAATCTATTCTTCCATCAACCTACAGGCAAGTGGGAGAATACCCAAATGCCCCCTTTGATTTATTTAAATGGGGTTTACAGGTGTCAATATGGGCTGGATGTGAGACTCGTGCTTATTGCATGATGGAAGGAAAATCAATGCACTCCTCAAGCCCTGGATGGGGAACCACTGAGAATTACAGAGGTCAGTGAATTTGGGCATGTTACACAGAGCACTGAACATGAAATAAAAATATTTGCATTGAAGCTGGAAAGAGGTTGTACAAAATTCACTGGGTGTGGTCTCTTCACCACCTTCCTGTTCATCTGTTAAATGTACTGACTTACACCTGCTTAGGGCTTTGAAACCAAACTTGTGGTGTTGGTCTAGAAGTCTCCAATGACACCAGTCAAAAATTTAAAGTAGATAGAAAATAAAATTGCTTTTTTGGTAACAGCATTAGAGGTGTTAATCTGTAAAACATTAAGTCAGGAAAAAGTATTTTTAAATATCCATTTCAGGCATTTACACGGACACATAATTCACCATTCAAATCAGAAGTCCTAGAAATTATTCCTGGCAACAAGATTGCCCTAAAAATAGATTGAATCTTCATATGATCATCAAAAAAAACACATGGCTCATTGCCTCAGGGTCCAGAACAGCAAAGGGATGTTAAGAGGTTTGCTCTGCAGGGCCCTGATATACAGCCCAGCATAAAGAAGCCATCACAAAGCAAATGAAGAGCCAGGAAACTGCTCAGAAATTACCTCCTGACCCAGAGCCTTCTTAGCCAGTTCAAGGACACCCATTGCCTTTAGTGGATTCAAGTCAAAATCCCAATGGGAGCAATAGCTCATCTTTTAAATTATTCCTAGAGCACTGCTAAACCCAAAGATAGGTCTTAAGCCATGTAAGTCATATTAATGTTAATTAACATGATTTAATGCTAATGCTCCTCATGAAATGGTTTTAAGTCAAGGAGTGACCATTTTTTACCTGTGGGCTTTTTCAAAGTCCCACAGCAACAATGCAAAAGCTTAGTCTGGAAATCCAGAGGGCTGACAAGGCGAGGATGTATTCATGGAAAAGCCAGTGCCTGTCCCTGTCCTGGGCACTGCATCTCCATGGAGGAAAAGTGCCTGGAGGAGCTGAGCTGCCAAAAGTCCCAATGTTCCAACAGTCAGAGCTGTGGGAGAGCAGAGGTGAACATTCCCTGAGCACAGCATGGACAATGGATGTGAACAACCCAAGGATGAGGCTGCACAAACAGGCAGCCCTTTAACACAAATCCCTCCCCAAAATGTCTTTATTTGTGACACTGGGCAGCGCTGCAGGAATGCCAAAGCAAGGAGATAAGTGTGTCTTGGCATTGTTGTAATTTACCTTCACCCTCCTTCTTCATCCTCTGCACCTTTGGTATGGGGGAGGGCTGAGCAAATGGGGCTAAAGGAAAGCTCCTTCTGATGGGCAGGTGTGGGCAAAGCTGCTCCAGGAAATGCAAATCCTCAGAGAGGGCTTAAATCTAAACATAGTTCTGTGCTCAGTTTGTTAACTTCTGGAGAACATCAACAGCCTGGGTCTGTGCTACATTAATTACAGGCAGAAAGGCAGCCTGACTTAAAATCAGTAATTCATTGCCTGCATTTGCTTTCCATCAGTTATCAGGAACTGAAAGGTAAATAATAATTAATTCAAGCTAGAAATCAAACTTCTCCCCCACTCCAATTTTTTCTTCTTCGGTACTAACTGAAGCCAGTGCCCTTGAGTTCAGAAAAAAGCAAACTTTCAAGAAAGATTTGCTTAGAATACACCAGATGCTAAGAAAGAGGCTCTTAAGATCACTCATTCTTGCTGAAAATGACCCATTCTTTATATTGAATTTTATATCTCCTTTATATTAAAGTACTCCCAACAAAATAAAAATAAATGAGAATAGAGCCCTGCTGCCTCACTCACTTTAAAGAGAATGAGGTCTAAAGCAGCCCCATATTTGAATTCTGTAGTTCTCAGAGACCTCAATTTGTTCCCAAGGAAATAATGCCCCAGTTTAGTTTTTAAATCAAACAAATGTCAAAGAATTATTTATAAGCCCTAATAGCACCCAGAATATTTTTTTGCTGTGTATTAGAAAGAGGTTCCAGACTGTTTTCCAAACTTTTATTGCTAATGCTCTGTTATTATCTGTTTGTGAGGGAGCTGCTTTGTATCATTAATTTCTTAACTTTGTAAGTCAGATCGAAGATCAGAACCATCCAACTCCCCAAATCAGCAGAACCTCATTCATCTCAAGTGTCTCTTTTTGTAACTCAAATGAAATATTTCACTTTGATCACTGTTAATAGAAAAGCCCTCGCACCAAAATGGAATGGTTGCTATTAAAGGAGTCAGAATAAAACTCTAAAAATAGGAGCACACATATTAAAAACCAATATCAAAAAAGAATCCAGTAATGATATCTAATGCTGGGCTTTCAGCTTTCACTGCTCACCACAGCACACAGGAAATTCCTGCCTCAAATTCAGTGTTTGGGGCAGATTGTCCAAGGAGGCAGCACCAGCCTTGAGGGGGACATTGCCTGTACCTTCATTAAAGCTACAACCAAATTATTGCAACATTTCCAGTGTCTGCCACTCTCCCAGGACAGGCAGCCTGGGGGCTGAACACCAAAATAAATGTCACAACGGTTGTCTGTGCAATCCCCACATGGACTCTGAACTTTTTGTGTCTCCAGGCCTGATTTTTCTTTTCAGAAGTGAAAGAAGTCAATTTAGGCAAAATTTGGGAAGAGTCTTTCAATCCAAAGGACAACCAGGTGGTTTTTCACAAGTGTCTCACTCTGGCAATTATAACTGATGAGGTATCTGCTACTCCTCAGGCCATTTTCTCCTATCTTCCTCCTTTTTGAAAAATTTCATATTTCACCTACCAAGTGAAAGAAGTCAATTTAGTCCATCACAAAAGAAAGGAAAGTTCCAAATCTAGTAGGTGGCAAATCACTAAATTATTTGTCTGTGGAGTTGCTTTACAAAAAACCTTCTTTGAGGAAACTGTGCTGGGGTTTGCAAAGAGACCTTGAGATGCAGATGATCCTTTAAACTTCATGAACATCAAAGTGGGGGAAAAGCAGTACCCCTGAGAGTAGGACCTACCTGCAAAGGATAAGATCTCAAAGAATCCTTGCTGGGTGAAATAAATATCCCATAAATCTTTTTCTAGACATTGAGGACTTGGTTTTGGTAATGTTCTTGTGAAAAAAAGACCAGTGTGTACTTTAAGTGGCCAAGGGAAAAAACAAAAAAAGAAACCCAAAACTTACAGGTTCAATTTCTCCTCTGCTTCCGTGTCTGACAGGCTAGAAAATCTAACTAAAAATGACCATTGAAGACTTTCCTGTTCAGGGCCTCAAGTGGTGAAACATTTCATTTTGACATCTCTGTCATAAAATATTTCATAACATGGTTTTGACATGAAATTCAAAAAGAATTTCCAGCCCATGACAGAGTTCTAAATTGAATGTTTTTCCCTCAGTTTGGGATGAAGTGAGCTCTAAACCAAGCAAAAAATCCCCCAATTTTGTGTCTAGCTGTAAGCAGAGATGTCTTTCTCTAGCAAACACCTTTCTTAAATCCTTCTGTACTTCTGAAGATCATAAAGTCTAAATGTTTATGCACTTGGTTAACCTAGGCTGAATTTTCCCCATAAAAATTTCCAAGTGACTCATTCAGCAAAGACCCATCTTACAAAGTCTTACCTTAAAGTACTAAAAATTCCCAGTGGATCCTGTTTTTACAGATCCCCAGCACATGGAGACGCGGGGCGCATCAACGGGAGAGTGGGAGAAAGCTCTTGGGAAGTCTCTTGGCCCTGTGAGGAATCAGGAAAAACAGAAAACTGGGTCAGAGGAAATGTATTTGGGGGTGTGGAAACAAATCAAGGCAGAAATGGGACAAAACATTCCAAATAATTAGATAACAGAACATAATTGTGCTATTTCAGACCAATCCCACTATCCTGCTCTTAGGCAAGAGCAGGGAACTAACTCAGTGGAAGAACACGGGGGATGTAACACATCCCTCTTTTACACCCTCCCAGCCTCCAGAAATTTGTTTCCTGTCATTTTCCACCTAATTTTGTTCTCATATAGGCTTTTCCTTCTTTAATATCCCAACAAGAAAGTCCAGTTTCTTTCAGGAATTTTGATGTGAGACCTTGCAAAAGCCTTCTGGAAATCTAACTGCAATTTCTTGATGCTCATGTTTACTTTGAAGAGCTTTCACAGGTTAAGAAGGCTTTACAAAGCCATGTTGATTCTTCAAAAATGTATTACATGCATCAAGATAAATAATTCTGTTCTTAACTCTCGTTCCTACCAAACAGGAAAATGAGGTGCGCCAAAATGAAAATGGATCCTAGTATTTGTGTGGGAGCAATTGAGGAAAATGCAAGAGAGTGGTTGAGCCAGGAAACAAAAAGTTGGATTTCTCTGGAGAAGCATTAAAGTGACGGAGTGTTTGCTGATTACACTATTTTAGTCTCTAAGTAGTAGCAAGCTTCCAACAAGCTGCCCTTGGTGGCATTCCTTCTTCTCATCCCATCTGAAATTTTCATGATAGTTTAGGCAAGGGATCATTTAAACACACACTTCATTTGGCTCCACATCAGATTTTGT